TATCTTCTGTTGCAAAATAAAAAAAAACGATTTTTTTAAAAAGTTTTTTTTGTCCATACAAAGTCAGTGATATGCAAAACAACATATGGACAGTTGAAACAGGTTTGAAATGACACTTACTCACCCTCATTTTGTTCCAAACCTGTATGACCTTCTATCTTCTGTTGCAAAATAAAAAAAATTATTTTAAAAAAATTTTTTTTTTGTCCATACAAAGTCAGTGATATGCAAAACAACATATGGACAGTTGAAACAGGTTTGAAATGACATGAGGGTGTGTAAATGATGATAGAATATCTATTTTTTGCCTGACATGTCCCTTTAATACAGTTCTCCATACACAAACCCAGAGATGGGTTATAATGAAAGGCTTGTTCCTTTAGATGAGATGCACACACACGCTGCTCGTGAGTTTTATAAGCAGTGAAGGATCAGTGGTCTGTGTCGGTTGAATAGATCCCACAGCAGAGAAGAATATTCCAGCGCTGATTCCATTTGCGTTAACTCAAGAAAAGCCAGCACGTGTGATTCCCAGGTCAAGGTAAGGCTCATATCTCACCTGTCAGCAGAAGAATGGCAACAACAGGGGTGATAGATAATGCACACACAAATACAGATAGAAGCAGAGGTGCAGAACACTCTGTACCAGAAGTTAAATTGTTTTGATGCACTTTCTCCTCTCTCCGTTTGGCCTTAGCCGTGGATTGGGGCTGTTCAGTTGGAGATACTTGTGTGTGAGAGAGATACAAAGAGAGAAAGCGTGTCTGTGAGTGACCTTTAGTGGTTTGGGTTCCATCGGGGGCAGATTAATTACTCTGCACTCTGCATGACGGGCCCTGTGCTTGTCAGCTCGCAAATGTCACCTCATGAACTTCAGCCACTCCGATTAGAAGTGAATGTACTTGCTTAATAAGAGATTCCCTCTTTTTTGCCATTGTGGAATGTTTTCCCTCCCGTGGCCTCAGTTAACTTGTCCCTTCAGCACTCTTGAATGGTGAATTGAATGGATAAAAATGCCTCTGTAGGGGATTGAAGGATACAGCTGTGCCAGATTTGCCATCGTTGTGTGCGATGAGATGGTTACAAGTACTCAAAAAAACAGCAGCCAGTTTGTAATTGGCACAGTGGAATATTGGGCGTTACCCAGCGTTTAATTTGAGTTAGGATAGCAATTGTATATGTTGAATTCACAGGACGCCTTCTTAGACAGAGCGCAACTGATAGGATGAAGTGCAATGTAATGCAGGAGTCTTGAAACTCCTTTTTAAAGGGTTAGCTCACCCTCCTAAAAACAAATAGTTCTTAACTCACCCTCATGTCATTTTAAACTCATTTGTTTATCTTTGAAACACAAATGAAGATATTTTTAATAAAATCCGAGCGATTCCTGTCCCTCCATTGAAAGTCCATTTCACCACTCAAAAAGTTCTTAAATACATTGTAAAACTAATTCACGTGAACCAAGCAGTTTAATCCAAGTGTTCTGGAGAGACGCTATCACTTTATATGCTGAACAGATATAGTTTAGCCTTTTATTCAACGCACATACATAGAGCTCATCAAATATGGTAAATGTAAGCTCAAAGATGCATTCTTGATGTGCAAGAACAAATGAGGTTCTGTTTACCATACTTGTTTTGAAGATGAACAAAAGTCTTACACCGTGTCTACACCGGACGTGACTGTTATTGCGCGCATCACATCGCACCGCAACAACTACAGGCTGTCTACTCTGGACACAATGAAATGACTATTGCAGATCATTTGTCCTTTGTGTCAGTATGTCATCAATAGAATTAGGCATCAGTTTACTGTCGGAGCATCGCATCTAGTGTAGAGAGATTTTGTTTATAATAATTTGAATGGGTTTGTAATAACTTGGGGGTAATTATTGACATAATTTTTCTTTTAGGGTGAACTGTCTCCTTTAAGGTTGAACTAGGGCTGTCAAATTGGGTTAGCTCACCCTCCTAAAAACAAATAGTTCTTAACTCACCCTCATGTCATTTTAAACTCATTTGTTTATCTTTGAAACACAAATGAAGATATTTTTAATAAAATCCGAGCGATTCCTGTCCCTCCATTGAAAGTCCATTTCACCACTCAAAAAGTTCTTAAATACATTGTAAAACTAATTCACGTGAACCAAGCAGTTTAATCCAAGTGTTCTGGAGAGACGCTATCACTTTATATGCTGAACAGATATAGTTTAGCCTTTTATTCAACGCACATACATAGAGCTCATCAAATATGGTAAATGTAAGCTCAAAGATGCATTCTTGATGTGCAAGAACAAATGAGGTTCTGTTTACCATACTTGTTTTGAAGATGAACAAAAGTCTTACACCGTGTCTACACCGGACGTGACTGTTATTGCGCGCATCACATCGCACCGCAACAACTACAGGCTGTCTACTCTGGACACAATGAAATGACTATTGCAGATCATTTGTCCTTTGTGTCAGGATGTCATCAATAGAATTAGGCATCAGTTTACTGTCGGAGCATCGCATCTAGTGTAGAGAGATTTTGTTTATAATAATTTGAATGGGTTTGTAATAACTTGAGGGTAATTATTGACAATTTTTCTTTTAGGGTGAACTGTCTCCTTTAAGGTTGAACTAGGGCTGTCAAATTAGAAATCAAACTTCGAACATTATTTGAATGGAAATACAAATGGCATGTTTGATTGCTAAAACTGTGCTTTCGAATTGAAAGATGTGTGGAAAGCACTGATAGCACAGTTATATTAAAATATACGGTTGACAAAAATATAAGAATAATTTTAATGCCAGTTAAAGAAAAAAAAAACGCATTAACATTGTTTTTAGAAAAATAGTTATAGCATTAAAAATGATCGGGATCAGTCAATAATATTGCAATGCATTTTTGAATTTGCCTGCAGTATTCTTCATTGAGAGTGATATGCAGTCATGCTTATTGCCCGTGTGCATCCATCATGTTTTATAGTGGATTTTATCAACTGTAAATGCAAAAACGCATTAACATTGTTTTTAGAAAAATAGTTATAGCATTAAAAATGATCGGGATCAGTCAATAATATTGCAATGCATTTTTGAGTTTGCCTGCAGTATTCTTCATTGAGAGTGATATGCAGTCATGTTTATTGCCCGTGTGCATCCATCATGTTTTATAGTGGATTTTATCAACTGTAAATGGAAGCTCTTTCTGCCAAGCTATCAGCTGAAACTTACTTTGATTAAACCTTATTTCTCACACATACTTGTTTTTCTCTGCCAAAATTTCTGTAATCAAATCTTGTAGATTTTCGACAGCGTGTGTCTATATCTCTTGAGAATGATCAGGTGCAGGGATCTGTGAGGGAGAGGAGCTCTGAAGAGTCAGTGTAGAAACGCTGGACTCAGTCTTGTGTAACCCTTCTCTGCTGTGTTGATTTGCTACATACTGCACAGGTAAAATCCCATTATGATAGACTAAACACTTATATTTATAAGAAATGGCAAGCTGAATGGGATAAATGTACAACAAACAAACTATACAAAATCAATCCTGTAGTTGGTGTAAAACGTTGTCCCCACTTTGAAAATCGATGGGATCATATTGTCTACACTCGCTGTCGAATAGGATATTCCAAACTAACCCATAGTTTTCTGTTGGTGGGTGAAGATCCTCCTTTATGTTCTTTATGCCAGAATCCATTATATTTGAAGCATATTTTGATAGATTGTAATAGTTTAAAGTCTGTCAGAACTCATTATTTTTCTGTTGACTTTTATGGAAAGATTTTTAATGAAGTAAGGCCAGATTAGTTTTAGAATTTTTTTTTTAATCTAAGATCAAATTTAAAAACTTAATTTAACTTAACTAACCTCGTTCTCGCCATGAATATAGCCGAGGTAGCTCGCATGGCGTTAAATCATAAACAAACAAACAGATCATGATAGACTACTAATCCTCACCTGCTGGCAGACTGCTTACTATCACTCTCGCTTGCTCTGTCTTTTTTTTCTCTCTCTTCCATTCTTGCAGTATCCCCAAGCGGGAGACTCTGGTTTACAATAGGATTATAAACACCATCCGCTGTGGAATCCGTCAAGTGTAGTTGTTAGTGTTACTGCTGGTGTGTTAATTGGCAGATAGATCACATGGGTAGTGGGAGGTGCAAATCTGAGAACGACAGAAAAATCTTTCATCGAGTCCTGTGAGATGTGTTTCTTTATCGAGAGCAACAAATCTCATCTGTAAATATGACCATGAACTCCTCTTTCAGTGATATTTTTTTAACATGTCTAAGAATAAAATTACATGGAAAAAGAGTCCGCAGTCCTGTGTGCATGCATAAATAGGTGCGTAACATGAATGAATGATTCATAGCTGAAGCCAATAGCATTGCATTATTTATGTACATCGTCGAGCAGCTGGCCGGCTCATCCGTGAGGATTGACGTTTGACATGCAGGGTTGGGATGCAAAGGTCCAAAGTACTGAGGCTCAGGGGGTTAAATGCCAAGGACCAGCGGCCCCTTAAGTTCTTGCCCCAGAATTCCATCCATTAGGACATCTCATGCAGGCTCGAACAATAGAGTGCTGCTCCTTTCCTGAAATAAAGCTGCATGCATGAGGATCCAGAATGATGTGTTGGTGTTACCCAAGACTGAGTCTCATATTTCTGCTTCCTCATGGGGAAAATGCAGGTTGATGATGACTTTGTATTCATAAAGCAGATGAACCTTTATATGCTGAATTTTCATTTGATTCATTTCGACCTGAATATATAAACTTCATTTTAAATGTTACAGCCGTCCTAAGCCCTGATCTCTGTGTTTTTTCTGTGATCTATTGTGCTTAAGAAGTCTTGTAGTTTCTTTTTCACCCACATTTGGTCCGAGGAATACACAGACGATGACAGGGTGGGTAGATGTAGACCTGAACAGCAGGGGCTCAATTTGTGGAGCTTCGAGCTGCATCAGTAATGATCCTTCGCTCTCTCTCTCTCTCTCTCTCTCTGTTTCTGTGCAGGTCTTTGGCTCTGCTGATAGACTCCCTCCAGTAAGGTAAGCTGTAGATATGTCTGTAACCATGTGACTTCATGTGCTTGCATTATCAGATTAACCGGATTTGCTTCTTATGACCTTAACCTTTAAATAAAAAGATTAAGTTGCTTAAATGCTTATAATATAAATTGTGTATATGCTAGGGATGCATGACATATCAGTACAATATAGGTTATGCTTAATTTTATAGATTTTTTTTCATGTCTCTGATGAGTAGAAAGTTCCCAAGAACAGGATTTATTTTAAATAGTAGTCTTTTGTAACAATGTACAAGTCTTTACTTTCATCTTTTGTCATTGTAACGCATCATTGCTGAATAAAAGTGTTTGATTGCATAGAATTATAAACATACTGTAGTGTACTACCATTTTACTTTTAGAAAAAATATATCGTAAAAAAAGTGCATTACTCATTTCCTCTATTTTAACTTTTTTTTAAACTTTTGCAATCATCTTAAAAAAGAACAGGTTGTGACTATTTGGGACATTAATTCATTCAGAAATGGAGTGAGAACAGGTTTTGTCATTCTAATACTTATTAGTTTGACTGCATTGAAAATAGAGATAGAAAAGCTCTGATAAAATACAGACACAATGTAAAACATACACACAGTGAGCTATGGTAGTGGGAGGAGTAATCATAATGGGGGAGCAGCCATCTATATCAAAGGTGCACCATGGGATCCTTTGATACGTTCATGCTATAGCAGCATAAACTCAGGATCCTTTGATATCTTCATGCAGTAGCAGCATAAAGTCTTCCCTCCATCTACTATTGCTCCCAGGCTGAATGGAAAATATCACATCTTCATTTTTTTGCCGCTTTGAGGTGGTTTCATTTGTTCAGGCAACGGCTTGTCTCTGTAGTCAGAGTTTGAAGTCTCTGCAGTGTAATAGAGGCACATCATTCATGCAGAGATTGTTTAAATCCCTTCCGTTCATATGTTGAAACAGTGTTGCGATGACCAAATTTCTCTATCTTCAACCCCTCTCCACCTTTCCTCCCGTCCTTTCTCTTCTCGTCCTCTTCCAACTACATCTGAAACCTCTCTTACCCCGCTGAGGATGTCTGCTGTCTCTGTTTGCCAAACTTGTTTCTTTACAGGAGAGGATGTAATTGAAAAAGACACATTTGTAAAGAAGGCCATATCGTATGTTTAGCTTATTACTTTCGGTCTACAAGCGCTGTTTTTTTCCTCTCTGGAGTAGCTTCTAATGTGGCTGTGTAATTTATGGTAGGTTCGGGCAGAGCTGTTTAATGCCTCCTCTGCCATCGGCAGTCTACGTGAACGCCTGCAGACACTCATCTGTGAGGAGCATCTAATTATGAAACAAATGAAATGCAGCAGCAGGAAAAACAACATCAGGACTGATGATTAATGCGATTTACTCAGCCAGCAGACCTGTAAGTTTCCTCCACCAGTCCCTCACTCAGTCACTCGCTCGCTAACCGTGGGACAGGTCTTGTGTTTTAAATGGCCTCCCAAATGGGTGGCGAAGTGAGCGCAGGTTGAAGGCTGCGGCTGGTAATTGCGGAGATGCAAATGGATTTATGTAGCATAAGCTGTAGTGCATTTAATGTAGTTTGATCCACATGCTCAATCACAAGCTGAAGGGTGACCTGCAGCACGGGGCCATTCTGTCTTTGTGTTTACCCAGGGCAGGGTCTCACCCCTTCCCTCTCCTTGTAGCCTCCAGCCCTACGCCTCACATCTCAACCAGAAGCCACCGGTCATGTTAGCTCAAGTGCTCTGACTCTGTTGCACCAGATCAGCTGCCAGCGAATGAAGATCTTCCTCGTGTCTTGTTCCTACATTCATGATTGTGTACTTCTATTCTCTCCATATGGCAGTGTGCTAATAAGCAAACCTCATAGATGGGCTCCATGCCCAACGGGCTCATCTGTCCCAGCTTGCTAATAGCTTAACTGGATTAGCCGGTTCACCACGCGGGCTGATCAGAGCTCATAATGCTGATCACCTCCATTGATCCGATTGATCAGGGCTCTGCTGAGAGTGCTGAAGAGAAAGCCACTGTGCTGTTTCTTTTCCTAACGTGTCCTAAAGGGATGCAGATACAGACTGCTGCTTTGCACATATGGGCCACCTGGGGATACATGCGAGGTGATGGGGTGAATGAGGGGGAAAGAAGCGAAACTGAAGGCTGGTTTGAGACAGATGGAGTGAAACTGAACCTGAGACTCCATGTCTGGTTATTGATGGGCACTTCCTGTCATCAGTATTGGTCTCTTGTCGTCTTAAACCAACATACGGCCCTGTTACTAATCAGCTGAGATAAACTGCAAGCACACAATCAGTCCCACTTTGACCCGACAATCTCTCATGCGAGATTAGTTTCGAAATATATAAATACGCTAATCAGTGCATCTTGTAGAAGACAGCTGTTTGGGTTCTTCATCATTTCGTATTCTGCCATCGTTTCGGTTTTGGTTCCGAAGTTTACTTAAAGTCCTTGCTAGTTTCTCTGCCCAATTTTGCTAATGAAGTGAGATTTTTAGACCTTTTCCCCCTCACTTTTTTTTTCATCTCGCCACCATTCTAAAATATAAGACATTCTGCATCAAAACTTGCTCTCCTTGATGAGGCACTTTCCAATTTAATTTCCTGACTGGTCTGATTGATTAATTTATGTTGTTAAATGGCTCCTTTGGTAATGGCTTAAGCTAAAGCACAGTCTGTCGCGGTCCCTTACGGCCAGAGCAGCTCTGTCTTTTCTGTTTAGTGTGGTCATTAGCGTGCCATGTTACATCACCAGGACTGTGCCAGAGCTGACATCACTCAGCTGTGCCCTAATGGAAAAGGTTGGCTCTGTTTATTTTGTTTAAGTGCAGGTCAAGGCACTGTGTAGTTTTGACAAGTTGAACGCCTGCCTGCATTCAGCCATGGAAAGAAGGGACTACTCTAGTTCTAGTTCTTTGGCTTCTCAGTCCCGTTGTATTTAAGCAGGTGGTGTCCATTTCGTTGATCAGCCTTTCAGGCTGTGTTATGGCTGGCTGTGCTCTTGTAGATCTTGGAGAGAAGGAAACCTGGGTTAGGTCAGGCTGGGTTCACACAAGTGACAGGCTATATTAATCAAGTCACTCTCATTCAGGGCCTCTTAGTTTGTTAGGTCAGTAGCACAGTATACTCATACAGCTTAATTAAGTTCAGTAAAAATTCATATAATTATTATAAATATAGCAATAATGTATACTTTTTTCAGTATGAATTGTCTATAAATGTCATACAGCATAATGGGGCAGTGTCTCTATGATAAATGATGAAAAGGTTCATCTGTGAGGAGCATCTAAATATTCAATTTAATTCACGTTTATTTTTTATTTGTTTTTTTTTATTTAACAGGGACAATACACTAGGCATTGTTACACACATACAACCATTGCCGTGTACATTGGACACATAGCATAAAGTTTGCATGTCCTTGTATAAGTTTGCAGTTCTCGTCCCTGGTTAGGCTTTTACATAAAATCAAAACATCCTAATAAAAAACAAACACAATCATCATAAGAAACAACACAAGTACACATGTACATACAGATAATTATCTGAGTAGCCTATATGTTGTGTGTGTTTGTATAATGATATTACAGGCTTAACTAATTGGTAAGCCTGACCCCAAATTTAATTTGCAAATAAATTCTTTAAAAATCCTACAATGTGATTTTCTGGATTTTTTTTTCTCATTTTGTCTCTCATAGTTGAGGTATACCTATGATGAAAATTACAGGCCTCTCTCATCTTTTTAAGTGGAAGAACTTGCACAATTGGTGGCTGACTAAATACTTTTTTTCCCCACTGTATGTGAAAATATCATAGTATACATAAACATTTGAGCTGCTTTAAGAGATATACATGGTCTTATCAAACATTTTCTTAATAAGGGCTTCAAACTTAAGCAATGACACCTACAATGACACCTAAATATTTAAATTCACTCACTTTTTTGATTTCCTTTTGGTCAATTTTGATTTTAAATACATCCAGTGCTTTGTTGTTTAGTGAAAAACTCATTGAAACCATTTTGTTATAATTTCAAGTTAAATGGTTATCCTGCAGCCACTGGGAAACACTGACCAGTTGCCTGGTTAACAATTCTGCAGCCAGGTGAGAAGTTTTTGCTGTTACATAAATAATTGTCATCTGCATACAATTTACAACCAACCTCCTTGCAATTTTCAGGTAAATAATTTATATATATATATATGTATATATATATATATGTATGTGTATGTATGTAAACCAAAAAAAGTAAAGGACCCAATATTGAACCTTGTGGTACACCTAGTTTGCATTTTTAAAGTGATGACTTCACACCACACATTTTAACACATTGCTGTCTACAACCCAGATATAATTTTAACCAGTTTAGAGCTTGAGAAAAGTTAATTTGTTTCAATTTTATGAATTCTTCATGATTCACAGTATCAAAAGCCTTTTTAAAGTCTAAAAATACTGCTCCCACTACGTTTACTTGATCCAATCTACTTTTTATGGTATCTATAAAATTACATATAGGCATTTCTGTTGAATACTTTGGCCGAAATCCAAATTGCTTAGTTTAAAAGATTTTTTTGGGGAAATTACTGGGATAATTGAGATGGGTCTATAACACCTCATCAGTCTTTCCAGACTTAAAAACTGGAGTCACCACAGCGGTTTTAAAATTTTGTGGAAACTCACCAGTTTTAATAGATAAAGTTACCAAATTAGCTATTGGCTTTACCAGTGTTGCACTATATTTTTTAATAAGAGAAGCATCTAAACCGAATATATCTTTAGCTTTTGAATTGTTTAATTTATTGAAAACTTGATTTAATTGATGAAAAGATTTTATCTTGATCAACCTGTAAAATATAAAAAGATGATGAATTTCTTACTACATTATGTGATAAACAAACAGAATTGAAATTTGCTGAAAGTTCTTCTACTGATTTAATAAAAAAGTCGTTATGTTATGTCCTTACTTTGACTGAATTACTGA